GCTGCAGGAGGCCGTCGTGACCAGAAACGGAGCCTGGGAGGCCTGCATATGATCCTCCCGAACTCCATTTTCATTGGCAGAGGGCTGCAGGAGGCTGTCGTGACCAGAAACGGAGCCCGGGAGGCCTGCATGTGATCCTCCCGAACTCCATTTTCATTGGCAGAGGGCTGCAGGAGGCCGTCGTGACCGGAAACGGAGCCCGGGAGGCCTGCATGTGATCCTCCCGAACTCCATTTTCATTGGCAGAGGGCTGCAGGAGGCCGTCGTGACCAGAAACGGAGCCTGGGAGGCCTGCATATGATCCTCCCGAACTCCATTTTCATTGGCAGAGGGCTGCAGGAGGCTGTCGTGACCAGAAACGGAGCCCGGGAGGCCTGCATGTGATCCTCCCGAACTCCATTTTCATTGGCAGAGGGCTGCAGAAGGCCGTCGTGACTGGAAACGGAGCCCAGGAGGCCTGCGTGTGGCCCTCCCAAGCTCCGTTTTCACAGCCAGGTCCAGCCCACGGGCCTTGAGTTTGATACCCCTGTTCTAGCAGGACCCTATTAGCTAAGAGGACATAACGCTGGAACATTTTTTTCACATAGCTCCTGATCTGTTGGAGCATTTGAAGGTCAGGCTGCCTTCATCGTTCAGCAGTTCAATACTGCCTCCCGCTACAAAGCTTACACTAATTAACTGGCATAATTGCTCCCCGGGGAGTTAATTCTCGAGGAGCCCCAGTAATTCACCCAGAAATTGTTCACTGGGAATTGTCATTCGTTGCAAGTGCTAAAACTCAAGATCCTTTTTGTGCTGGTTTAAAAAAAAAAAAAATCAGAACGCCGCTGAAGTATATAATGCTTGTTCTAAAGCTGTTCCTATAGCTCCGGTTGGAGGCTGGACCAAAGAAATTTGCTAGCTTCCTATAATGCACAAAACCCCATATCCAGGTTCACATAATGTACTGTAAGAATAAACAGTATCATAGCCTGACTCATGCAGCCTCCTAAAATAACAGCATGGAAAAGAACCAACCCATTTTATGCAAAGTCAGTCCCTTTAGAACTGATTTTGTAATTGTAATTTCTTGTCAAGGAATCCTCGACCTTGTCACCACTAGCAAGCAATCCTTTTGCCTTTCTTGGAACATTTAAATCTAAGAACTTTTCTTTACATTTAAGTTCTGTTGTTTCCACTGTTTTACATACGGCATTTTATTCAGTGTTCAGTGTGCCTGGGGTCCCCTTTGGTGAGACGGGCAGCATGCAATTTTAATAAATAAATGGATGAATAAATGAATATGAAAACTGTTTCATATCCAACAATTGCCACCATCTCCTTGGAAAGACATTCTAGGACAGATGTCAGCAACCCGCAGCTCTGGAGCCGCATGCAGCTCTTTGGGCTCCCTGTTGGGTGATTTCCACCACTGGGTGGCCCGCCCTTCGCCCTCGCCTCCCAGTCACTCCTCACCATGCCTGAGACGGTAAAACACAAAAAACAGAAATGATATGGAGGGAGGGAGGGAGGGAGGGAGGGAGGGAGACCCATTTCCCACAGAAAACACTGGGAGCCCCAAAATCTGGGTAGGTGTGGCGTGGCTTGGGTCATGTGACTGTTCTGACCCAGGCTTCATAAATCAAAATTAATCACAAACTTGTTTTAAAAGCAAAACCTATTGGAATTGTTTCAATTCTCAGCCAGAACTAATCTTAAACAGTCCCCCAAGATAAGCACACACCTTTCAGTTATGTGGAATGCTGCCAAAAACAGAAATATCCAATTAACTATAAAAGAAACCAACCAAAGCACAAGAAAAAAACCCAACCAAAGCACACAGAGAACTCAGAACCGATCGAACTACTTTGCTTCCTGCAAAGGTTTCATCATTTAGGCCTGACTATTATCCCTTATGGGAGGGGCCATCACCTCCCAGCCTTACTCCTGAGTCGCCCCTTTTGTTTCAGCTGCTCTCGCCTTCTAGCAGCTCTGTGCACACGCACACTGGGAACGGGCTCCCCTGGGTCCTCGGCCTAGCTGCTGCCAGACTCTGGAAGCTCCGGAGTCAGCACCCCACTCCCAGATGGTCCTCACTCCATCTCTGCATCGGAAGCAGGACCCTCGTCCGAGTCCTCTCCAGACTCCCAGACTGGTCCCCGTTCTTCCCCGCTGCCCGATTCTGCTGCCATTTGCACCGGCTGCCAGCAAACCACAACAGTGAGTGACGTTGAATTGGCCAAACCCACTTAGGTTTTGTGGTTCCCGTTTTTTTTTCTTTTCTGTGGGAAATGAGTCCAAACGCCTCTTTCAGTGTTTAAGGTTGCAGACCCCTGAATCTAGGGAGTATCTATGGAGATTCTCAATCATCCAGGTCATGGTTGTCCCCAAAGTGCTTTTTTCAAGAGGCATCTGGACTTATCTTGGGTTTTCCTCAAAGATGTTCCGCTTCCAAGAACCGACATGCAGAACTGAAGAAGCTTCTTGGATGAGAAGCGAAACGACTTCGAGGAAAAACGAAGGTCAGCCCAGTCGCCTCTTGAAAAAAGCACCTCGGGGATATCTTCAGGAGAGATTCTTTGTGTTCTCCAAAAGGATATAAAGTCAAAAGACGTCGAGCAAGCTCTGCAGATGGGACGACCCAACTATGAACGGTTAGTGTCATGTTCACCATGAAGTCGCTGGTGCACAGCTTCCCGTCTATATCTGGAGAAGAAAGACAGGTGTTAGAGTGGATCTGTCGCTAGGCAGGAATGGAACTGAGCAGAAATGAGGAAAGCGAGCAGTCTGGGATTGATCTGCCTCATAATACAGTGCATTCCTGGTCTTTAAGAGTTTGGTCTAATGCTTAAGGTACCCAGGCTAGAAAGCAAGTAGACCGTGAGTTCTAGTCCCGCCTTAGGCATGAAAGCTAGCTGGATGTCTTTGGGCCAATCACCAGGAGACGGTGAATTCTAGTCCCGCCTTAGTAATGAAAGCCACCTTGGGTGAGTCCATCTTTTTCGCTCTCTCAGCCCTATCCACCTCACAGGGTTGTTGTTGTGGGGAAAATAGGAGAAGGAAGCTGTGTTGGATATGTTCTCCTCCTTGAGTTATTATACAAACCAACAATGAAAAAAAAAATTCCTGGATGGTAATCTGGACTATCTGTGGCATGATTTGCACTAGAATCAGCCTTGGTCTCTAGCCTTATGGAACGTCTTCTCCTCCCCCACCCTCCCTACCAGAATCAAAAAGGGGGTCTCCATCTCACCCCACCCCCTCCAGCCACAGTACCAAAGGAGCGAAGGCATTTCTCAATCAACTCCTCCAGAGTGCAGGAACGGTTCAGTTCTCCCAGGCTGATGCAGGCCAATGCCTGGTTGATCTCCCGGGGGTTGGGGCAGGTCATATGGCGTCGGCTCTTCCGCCGGTAGATCTTACTGGCTCCAGGGAGGGTGCTGGAATCCATCCTACCAGCGGCCTCGGTCCGCGATCTCCTGCAAAAGCAACAACTCTGCTTATTGGCCATCGTCAACAACTTGGGAGAATCCCAGAGGTGGTATTCAGCTGGTTCACACCGGTTCTGGTGTACCGGTAGCAAAAATTTTGACTGGTTTGGAGAACCGGCAAATACTGCCTCTGACTGGTCCCGCCCACCTGCCTCTGCTCTTACCTCTCCTGTATTCTGTTGTTTCTTAGCTCCGCTGATTCGCGTGGCAGAGCGGATGGCTGCGCCTCAGCGGAGCTAAGAAACAGCTGTAAGTCGGTCTTAGACTCATTTGTGCGAGCACCCAGCATAGAACCGCGCATGCAGCTGATGATGCAGTTCTACAGAGGAATGATGGAGCCTGTCCTCTGCACCTCTATAACTGTCTGGTTTGGTTCTGCAACCCAATGAGACAGACACAGACTGCAGTGAGTAAATAGGACTGCAGAAAAAAAACATTGCTACCAATCTGCCTTCCATCGAGGACCTGTATCCTGCACGAGTCAAAAAGAGGGCTGTGAAAATATCCACAGACCCCTCACATCCCGGACATAAACTGTTTCAACTCCTGACGCTAGAACAACTAGACACAAGGAGAGTTTTTTCCCGAACGCTATCACTCTGCTAAACAAATAATTCCCTCAAAGCTGTCCAACTATTTACAAAGTCTGCACTACTATTACTGTTAATCTTCTCATCACTCCTTATCACCCATCCCCTCCCACTTGTGACTGTATGACTGTAACTTTGTCGCTTGTCTCCTTACGATTTATATGGGCTGTTTCCTAGTAGGATTTGATTGCTTATTGTACCCTATGACTATTATTAAGTGTTGGACCTGATGATTCTTGACTCTTGACAAATGTATCTTTTCTTTTATGAACCCTGAGAGCATTTGCAACAAGACAAATTCCTTGTGTGTCCAATCACACTTGGCCAATAAAAGAATTCTCTTCTCTTCTCTTCTCTTCTCTTCTCTTCTCTTCTCTTCTCTTCTCTTCTCTTCTAAATTCTATTCTATATTCTATATTCTATGTTCTATGTTCTATGTTCTATGTTCTATGATGTTCTATGTTCCAAATTCTATATTCTATTCTATTCTATTCTATTCTATTTTCAATTCAGCCCACCTCCTTCTCTGCCGTCCCTTTCTTCTTCTTTTGCCCTCAACCACTCCCAGCATTCGGCTCTTCTCCAGCGAGTCCTTCCTTCTCACGAGGTGGCCAAAGTCTTTGAGCTTCATCTTCAGGATCTGGCCTTCTCAAGAGCAGTCAGGGTTCATCTCCTCTAGGACTGACCAGTTGAATGGCCTTGCAGTCCAAGGGACTCGCAGGAGCCTTTTCCAGCACCATAGAGTTAAAGGTAAAGGTTCCCCTCGCACATTCATTTCTGGTTGTTTCTGGCTCTAGGGGACGGTGCTCATCTCCGTTACAAAGCTGAAGAGCCAGTGCTGTCCAAAGACGTCTCCGTGGTCAGGTGACCGGCCTGACTGAATGCCTTTGAAGGCGCACGGAACGCTGTTCCCTTCCCGCCAAAGGGGTCCCTATTTTTCTACTTGCATTTTTTTGTTTACATGCTTTCGAACTGCTAGGTTGGCAGAAGCTGCTGGGACAAGGAGCGGGAGCTCGCTCCGTGACGCAGCCCAAGGGATTCGAACCGCCAAACTGCCAACCTTTCTGATCGACAAGCTCAGCGCTGCTGATCTTTAAAGAAGACCCCTCTTCAACTTTGCAGATGACAGTAAACCACCCAACTTGACGCAATATGTGGATGTGCTGAAGGTTTTTTGTTTTTTTCCCTCCTTACCCAACTTCCTTGTGTGTAGAGACAGCACAGCCCCTCCCTGCCTGCCTGCCTGCCTTCTCAGTCAAGCCAGACCTCTCCGCTTTGATCTCCGGGCGGAAAGCCAGCCTGTCTTTTGTTCTGGTGTCTCATCTCCACGACGCTGGGAGCCCTTATCCTACACTCTGATCAGCGGGAGGGTGTACTGAATCCAAACCAAGCATCTGTTTTTTTTTTAGCCAAGTGGAATCAGGAACTGGCAGTGCACCGCGAAGCTTCTTTGCAAAATCTCCACACCGCCTTACTCCGAGTCAAATAATTCTGTTCAGCCTCAACAGCAGAGATAGATCCATGCAAAGGTGTTTGACGTGTTTTTTGCAAGTTAGCTAGTGAAATAGAAGACCGTGTAAATCTGGCGTGGGATACTAAAGACCATAAATGCAACAATAGAAGAGATATATATTTGCAGCTCAGGATTCAACAGTGGGATCCTTGGTCCTTTTCTCTGAGCTTGGTGGTTTTCTCGCGGACGTTTCATGACCAATTCATTAACGCCTCCAGCTCGCGCTGATGATGTTACCTAGTTTGACAATGAAACGTCTACAAGAAAAGCACTGAAGCTCAGAGAGCCCCAAGGGCCTCCCCCCACCCCAGTCTAAATATAATCTTCATCTCTAAAATAGAAGGTTGAAGATTACAAGCTTCAATTGTACAATGACAATTCAATTCTTTTGAAATGAGCTTAGGAAGGTAACATGAAACCAAGCACACACCCCTTAAAAAAAGAAAGAAAGAAAGAAAGAAAGAAAGAAAGAAAGAAAG